TGGAAGAAACACACATCAGCCTGTGTGATCACAAGGTGTCAAAGGGATCAGGTATCAGGCAACAAAGAACAAAAAAGCATATCATTGTGAATGAAGGGGAGTGCAGAGTGGGGACCCAAAGCCCATTTGTAGGCAACTGGACATCCCCTTATGGAAGGGTTGTGGGGAGGAGATGAGCCAGTCAGGGTGCGGTGTAGCAACGCTGAAACATACAACTTTCCTCTAGTTCTTAAATGCTACCTCTGTCCCCTACCACCCCCCCCACTAACATGATCCCAATTCTACCTTATAAACCTGGTAGACCAGAGGATGTACACTGATACAGATAGGAACTAGAAACACAGGGAATCCAGGACAGATGACCCCTTCAGGACCAGTGGTGAGAGTGGCGATTAACAGGAGGGTGGAGGGAAGGACAGGGAGAAAGGGGGAACCGATTACAAGGATCTACATCTAACCTCCTTCCTGGGGGATAGAAAACAGAAAAGTGGGTGAAGGGAGACGTCGGACAGTGTAAGATATGAAAAAATAATAAGTTATAAATTATCAAGGGTTCGTGAGGGAGGGGGATCAGGGAGGGATGGGGGGAAAATGAGGAGCTGATACCAAGGACTCGAGTAGAAAACAAATGTTTTAAGAATGATGATGGCAACGAATGTACAAATGTTTGACACAATGGGTATATGTATGGATTGTGATGAGTGGTATGAGCCCCCAATAAAATGATTTTGTTAAGATCCTTGATTTAAATAATTTATGTATAGTTTTTCAGTGATCTACAATAAACTCCTGACAACTGAAAAACTTTATAAAAAGCTAAAAATAATAATAATAATAATAATAATTAAAGCAAAAACAAACATCAGACTTGTAGTGAAGCTTTAGTGGCAGGATAAATAATTAATGCTTCATAAAATGTTTATGGGACATAATATCCCAGCAGTTTACAAATGTATAACTAATTTTAACTAAGGACAAAGTGATGTTGAAGATAAAGCCTGCAGCACAGGCCATCTGTATCCATTTTCAAGGATATACACAACCAAAAGGTATTCCTGAGGAAGAAAAGCTGTTGCAACTACCAGAAACAAATTAGAAGGATGATATTCAGGTACACCCAATGGTTGAAGAAAAAGATCAAGAGAGCTGTGGAAAAAATACATGAAAAATCAGATGACATAAAGCAACAACAAAATAGAAATTCAGAAGATCAATACAAAGATTATAGAACTATAAGACACTTTTTAAAATTTGTATGACTTTTTTATGAATTTGTTAAAACAAGACCAGTTGAGCAAAGAGTACTAAGGGGGAGTTCTTGGAGAGAGAATCAACAAAAACAACAGACACAAACCTGAGGTCAACATATAAAACACCCAGAAATAAACCCACTTAAAGCAATATTTAAAAACAACTACAAAATACAAGACTGAAAATACGGAACCAGAGATCTCAATCTGCCATGAAGACAAATACAAGGAAAATAAAGTGTAGATATCGAACGGTTGAATGGAAAGGATGTCAGAGTTCTCAAGAAATGACAAACTAACCCAAACTTGGGAAGAAACTAATAGCAAGATAACTTGAAAGAAACTGGGGAAAGCCTCATTAAAGTGAAAAAGAAGAAAATCACAAAATTTAGTAAACAGCAAAGGAAAAATATCAAAACTCACAAACAAAAGAAACTGAGCACAGAAATTTGTGAATAAAGAAATCAACAATACCACACACACCCCACAGCAAAATGACAGCAACAAATCCATACATACCAATAATGACACTGAATGAAAATGGAAAAATCCACCATCCAAGAACCAGAGAACATGTTGGATAGGAAAACAAGACCCATCAATATTCTGTTTATGAAAAAAAACACTTTAGGCACAAAGACAAGAGCAGACTAAAAATCAGAGGATAGAAAAATATTTCAAGTTAACAGCAATCAGAAAAAAAAGATTGGCAATATTCTCTGATAAAATAGACTTCAAGGGACAATTTATCATGATAAATAAAAAAGGACTTCACATAATGATTAAAAGTGCAATTGAACAAGACATAACTATAACATATCTATGCAATGAATAACTCTCAAAATACATTAATCAAACTTTTAGTGATGTTCCACCAAGAGAGAAATAGGCAATAACAACAGAAGACTTCAATATAGCACTCAAGAGGAAGGCTAGAACATCAGGAAAGAAAGTCAATAAAAACAGAAGAGATCTAAACAAAACAATCAACCTGACCATCTAGACATTTAGAGCACATCACACAATGTACATTCTTTTCCAGTGTACATGGAATATTCTCTAGAATAGACCATATATGGGGTCACAAATCGAGCTTTAATAAATTTTTAAACATGAAGATAATGCAAGTCATTTTCTCCAACTACAACCCTATAGAAGTAAACAATAGGAAGATAAGGAGAAAAAAATCAAGTTCATGGAAATTGAATAGTACCTGTTTAAGAACTACTGGGTAATTGAAGAAATAATGAATGAAATTAAAATTTTATTTGAAACAAATGAGAACAAAATTACAGCACAGCAAAAATTCTCCAACCCAGAAAAGTAGTATTCATAAGGCAATTTATAGCAATAAATGCACATATCAAAGCAGTAGAAAGAACCAAAATCAACATTTTGACCCAGCATCTCAACAATTAGAACCAGCACAACAAAATAAACCTTCAGCCAACAAAAGAAAAATAATGAAAACGATAGCAGAAATAAATAAATTGGAAAACAGTAAAATCATGGGAGGAAAATCAACAAGATACCCATCTTCTGTGTTGTTTGCTCCAGAATATAGAAAATGACAGCAAACTTCGGGACTCATTTTATGAAGTGGGAATAACCGTGTCATTAAACCCGGACAAAGAAACTACAATAGGAAACATGCAGGACAACACAGGTGATTATGAATGTAGATGCAAATTCAACAAAACTTTAAAAAAATAATATATCATAAGCAAGTGGGATTTATATCAGGTATACAATAATGGTTCAACATTAGAAAAACCAATGTAATCCACAATATAATTAAAAGAAAGGATAATAACTATTATATAAAGCAGTTTAATTTGAGTTAAAATCAATTCTGTGGCAGTGAGTTTGCATTATGAATCTAATTTAGGAGCTCTGATGGTACACGCGTATATAGGAGGTTACTCTCTAGTTGGGCCACTAGCTACTTGGTCAGAAGTTCAAACCCACTAGTCTCTCCTATGGAGAAAGATGAGGTGCTCCGCTCCCATAAAGATTTACATCCTTGAAAACCCACAGCGGAGTTGTACCTTGCCCTGTAGGATCTTTATGAGTTAGAATGGACTGGATGGCGGTGAGTTTGGTTTTTGTTTGAACCTAACAAAGTCTTATCTCTGGGTATCAAATAGAGGCAAATTAACACACTTAGCTGAAACGTTGGTGGTAAAAATCCACCAAGAGATGCTTTGGGAGCAGAGCAAACAATCTGCTTCTGCAAGGTCACAGTCTGAAAGCCCTTTGCAATGCACGTGACAGAGTAGAACTGCCCACCTTGTCACGCAGTCTGCGGTCTGTAGAAACACATCTGCAGGTTGCCAGTTCTTACTAGTGCTGTGCTACAGGGAGGATTTGAAGAGCCTATCATTTGGTTTACAATCGAGCACTTAACCACTCTGCCACTAGAACTCTTTGTCTTAAAATAATGACTAGTGGGAGGTAGGGAGTTCTATATGAGAGAGTTTCAAAATATTGTGGGGAAATATGGAATCACAAGTTAACGAATGTTTGCACAAAATTTTTAAGCACCCTGGTTGTTAAAAAGAGATAAAGACAAATTTTTAACTAAGACACTGGGGATAGTTGAAATCATTATATATTAAAACGGGTCAAAGGTAACAGACTACTAACCAAGAAAAGAAATACTTCTAAGGGTGTAGGGTGGTTGTTTTTCAATGTTTGAAGGCTTATCTTGTGGAAGAGATATTAAAATTGAACTACCTGTATTCTCAGAGACATATCTTGAAAGGAATAAAATATTTCTATGTATAATGGAAGGAATTTGCTAATTTAAAAATAAACTAGAGTTTGTTGTAAACGGTCTTCAATATTTCCCATCCTAAAGACCAGGACCCCTATACATACCTGGGAAAGCACACATAGTCTTTTCTGGGATGTACCATGCTTCTCTTACAATAAATACAGTGTTGTACATACAATTCTCTCTACCTAAAATCTCTGTCTACAACCCTGCTTCTCTTGCCTAAATCATTGATACTTAGAACTCCCACTTCTCATAGCAACCTAGTTAATATTTATTTGTAGCATGCTGTCAACACACTATGGTTCTATTGCATCCCTATCACTTGAAACATTCTTTTTATATAAAGAATTGATTAATTTTGATCGCACAAAAAGTTAGCTATAGGAAAACACACACATGGCTGCTATTGCTCATCATTTTAATCCCTGCACTGTTGATGCATAGAAGGAACCACACATACTCATTCTATAGGTGAGCTGGTAAAGTGCTTGTAGGGTCTTTCGGGAGAGTGCATGATTACATGAAGGGGTAGCCAAAAAGCCTACATACCCATGGTTAGCTCAGATGGTCAGGAAGTTTTCTAGCAATTTGGAGTGTTGGTTCTGTATATTTTGTCGTCGTTGTTATTTTTAAATGTAAATTCTTCCCTTTCTTATGCAGGGTCTGCGAAACTATTTCTTAATGATACTTTCATTTTGCATCATCTTGACAAGTGCTTTATGCACTGTTTTTTCTAAAATCTAACCCTCGCGTAACCAGGAGATGGCATTCAGAAAATGGATCTCAACTACTCTTGGAGTATGTGAATTAGTTTTTCCCCACAATCTGATAATAATGGAAAACTGAGTTTCAGTCAAGTGTAGAAAGAAACTATTCTTCTGATGGACTGTATTTGAAGGTATGATTTGAATACAATGTATACTGTATATTCTTATAGCATTACATCTGAGGATTTTTTAATAATATGTAAGTAGTATTGTGTGATATAGAAAAATGTATGTAAAATGTACAGTTGTAATTTCCAACTTATTCCCCTCATAAAATCAAGCGAGGTAGATAGTTTGGAGGTTGGGGAACCTACATGATGATGGATTTAGACTTTTAGAACATTTGGACCCTTGCTAAATAAAATAAAATGTCAAGGTTAGTAACTGGTACTAAAGCAGCTGCTTCAGCACCAGTAGTAAAAAAAAAAAACATTTTATTTCAAATTTTTATTTGTGTTACCCAACTCTACCTCATCTATCCTAGCTTGAAATGTTTTTGGTGATCTCCAGATAAAATCAGTCTTCAGAGAACAAAATTCTTTCATTATGAAGCTATGCGTATAATAGATATACCTAACTAATGCCATTGCCACCAAGTAGATTATAACTCATAGCAACTCTACATAATGTTTCCAAGACTGCAAATCTTTATAAGAATCACCCATTCATTGTCCTTGAGTTGTTTCTGTTCGTAATGCCCCTATAGGACAGGGTAGAACTGGCCTTCTGGATTTCTGAGGCCTTCAATCTATGGAAGCAGAAAGGTTTCTATTTGTTCTACAGAGCAGATGACTTTAGAGTTAGCACCCCAGTGAGTAACTCACTGTTACATCAGGGCTCCTTCCATATACATATTTATAAACATGCTACTCTTAGTTTCCTTCCAGTAAGTTCTGATTTATAATAATACTGTTTACAACAAAATGAAACACTACCTAATCTCGTGGCACTCTTGCAATCTTTCCTATGGTTTAGGCCATTGATACAGCCGCTGTGTTTCTCCATCTCTCCATCTCATTAAAAGTCTATCTCTTCCTCCCTGACCCACTTAACCGAGCATGACGTTCTTCTCCAGTTACTGGTCTCTCAGAATATGTTCAGAGTACGGGAAACAAAGTCTTGACATCCCAACTTCTAAGGAGCAGTCTGGCGGTAGTTCCTCCAAAACAGATTGGATTGTTTTTCTGGATGTCCACGGCATCTTCAAAGGCATCTTTTCCTCTTTGGCCTACTGTATTGGCTGTCTGTTTCTTATACATCGAAAGCAATTCAAAATAGTATGGCATAATAATATTGTGTCAAATTAGCTAAGCCAGAATTCTCTGTGATTTGGCAGCTAAGGCCTACTAAACCCCCATGATATGATCTAACATAATTTAATCAACTCCGTAATGGGATCTACTGTGAGCAGCCAATCAGTTATAAAAATTTGGGGTTGGAATTCAATTCCCTTACTCAGGTCATGACCATGGTGCAATTGAAGCTTCCTCAGGGGTGTGGTCTAATGCCTATGTATGTAGATGTGAAAAAGCTTACTTGTTGTTTTTGTTGTTGTTGGGTATCCTGCATCTGGCCCATCACCCCCTGGTTATTTGGACTTGAGCCAATGGCCTGCCATATTGCCTGCTGATCTCAGGAGCCAACGACAGTGAGGGTTGCCTGCCATCTGACCTGCCAACCTTGGATTAATTTGCCTCTCCAGTCATAAGCCTGACCAGGTTACTTTGAATTAATCTTGAATCCAGTGGTCTTCCTGTGGGTCTTGGGTTCATCAGCAGCCTAATCTACATGAGTCAGGAGAAGCCTCCAGTTTAACATCTGACCCATGGACTTGGAGCCTGCCTGGACTTGAACTGGACTTGCCTGCTTCTACAACTGTGTGAGCCACTTTCTTTATGTCAAATTCTGTCTACATATGCATATAAAAGCTTCATTGGCCTTTCTTCTCTGGAGAACCCAGCTTAACACACATGACTTAGGTCAATCCAGGTTCTCACATTATTGGCTCAGTATACAAATTGGATAAGTATGGTAAAAGGAGACCATTCTAATGCATACTTTTCCTGATTTGAAACTTTATGGTATCAACTTCTGCTTGAATGACTGCCTCGTAGTCTATGTAAAAGTTCCACATGAGCACAATTAAATGTTCTGGAATCCGTCTTCTTCACAGTTATCCATAATTTCTTATGATCCATCTAGCTGAGTGTCTTTGCGTAGTCAATATAACACAGGTAAATAACGTTCTGATATTCTTTTCTTTCACATTATTGTCTAATAATCTGAATTACTTGCTTTGTTCCATGTTGTCTTCTGAAACTGGCTTTAACTTCAGTCAATTCCCTGTCGATGAGTTTTTAGAACCATTGTTAACTGTCTAGCATAAATTTACTTACATGGAGAGTGGGCACAAGTATGAATCTCTTCTAGTCAGTTGGCCAGAAATCTGTCTTCCACATTTCTGGGTATAGGTGAGTGAGCTACTTCTGTGTTAACATCAGTTGACTCTGACATCTCATTCAGTATTTGGTCAATTCCTGGAGGCTTGAGTTTACCAATAACTTCAGGGCAGCTTGGACTTCTTCCTTCAGTATGATTGGTTCTTAATAATTTACTACCTTCTGAAATGACAGAATATTATATCAGCAAATTCCTTTTGGTACAGTGACTGTGTATAGCTTCCATAATTTAATAAATCTTATATGGGTAAATCGTATGCTCATGTTGTTATTAGGAGCTCCCATGTTTGTTCTGACTCATCGTTGCCCGATGTACAACAGAGCAGAACACTGTTCAGTCCTGCATCATCCTAAAAGTTGGTAGGTTTGAACCCATTTTTTGTACAGTCCGTACATTTTTTGAGTGTCTTCTTTTTTTTGTTCCCCTCGACTTTACCAATCTTGATGTCTCTCCTGATAACATCCCCAAACTATGTGAGAAGAAGTATCACCATCCTTGCTTCCAAGGAGTAAACTGGCTGTACTTCCTCCATGACAGATCGGTCTTTCCTTTTGGTAGCACGTGGTTCTTTCCGTATTCTTCTCCAGCACCACAACTCAAATGCATCAATTTTTCACTGGTCTTCCTTATTCAATGTCCAACTTTCACATACATAGAAGGCAATCGAAGATAAAATGGCTAGAGTCAGACACATAAGTGACATATCCTTGCTCTTCAAAACTCTAGAGAGGTCTTGTGCAGCAGATTTACCTAATTCAATGCATTGTTTGTACTCTTAAATACTGCTTCCATGAGCATGGATTGTGGATCTAAGAAAATTGAAGTCTACCAACTTCTAATCTTTTCTCCATTTATCATGATGTTGCCTACTAGTACAATTGTAAGGATCCGAGTTTTATTTACATTAAGTTGTAATTCATATTGAAGCCTTCAATCTTTTATCATTATTAGCAAGTGCTTCTCACTTTCAGCAAGCAAGGTTGTGTCATCTGCATATTGCAGGTTATTAATAAGACTTCCCCCAATCCTGATTTCACAGTCTTCTTCATATGATCTAGCTTCTATGAGTTTGTGTTCAGTATACAGATTGAATAAGTAGAATGAGATAATACTACCCTGACACATACTTTTCTTCATATTAAATTATGCACTATTCGTTTGTTCTGTTTGATTCATGTACAGGTTTCACATGAGCTATCAATAGTTTGTTATGATCTACATAGTCGAATGCCTTCACATAATCAATTTGTCATTTTTTACTTTGGGCCAAGATCCATCTGACATTAGTAATTATATCCCTTGTGCATAGCCTTTTGAGAATCCAGCCTGAATTCCCAGGTGCTCCCTGCCAAGGTACTGCTGCAACCATGATTGAATTATCTTCAGCAAAAGTTTACTTGTATGTGATATCAATGATATTGTTCTATAATTTGTGTCTTCTGTTGGGTCACCTTTTGGGGGATGGACATAAATGAGAATTTCTGCCCATCACCTGGCCACATCTTCTAAAATTCTTGGCATAGACAAGTCAGTACCTCCTGGGCTTCATTAGCTGACTGAAACATTTCAGTTGGTATTCCATGTATTCCTGGATCCTTGTCTTTTGCTAAAGCCATCGATGCAGCTTGGAATTCTTTCTTCAGTACCTTTGGTTCTTGATTATATACTGTATTTCATGAAATTGATAAATGTCAAGCAATTCTTTTTGTTACCGGGACTCTATGTATTCCTTTTATCTTCTTTTTATGCTTCCTGCATCATTCAATAGAATCTTTCAATATTTCAACTTAAGACTTGAATTTTTCTTCAGTTCGAACATTTTAAGATAGGCTTATTGTGTCCTTCCCTTTTGGTTTTCTAACTCCCAAACTGCTCCTCTCTCTGCCATCGACACCTCAAGTACCATTGGACCAGGTAGATCATAAGGCCCCAGGGGAAGAGCAGCTTGCACGACAACCTGAACTTTATCTTTCACTACAGTACACTGATTAACGAGTTGAGATTTGGTTAGCTGGTCAGGGACTTAGAAGGAGCATGGTTGGAAAACATGACAAGGAAGTTTGGGGAAGAGGGATGTGGGTAGACCACTCTGACTGGGCAAAAAGGGTAAAGGTATTTGTGTCTTATGTGAACGCGCTCCAAAAGGTTACCTCTTCAGAGTCCAGGATTTGGGACCATTTTTCAGGGTGAGATCAACCAGCAACTGGTGGCAGGTTAATTGCATGGGACCACATCCTTCATGGAAAGGGCAGTGTTTTGTTCTTCCTGGAATTGACACGTATGACGGATACGGATTTGCTTCCCTGCGCAGAGTGCTTCTGCCCAAACTACCATTCATGGACTCACAGAGTGTCTCAACTACTGACATGGTATCCCACACAGCATCACCTCAGATCAAAGCACTCACTTCACAGCAAATGAGTGTGGCAATGGTTCATGCTCATGGAATCCACTATTCTTACTATCATCCTGAAGCAGCTGGATTGATAGAATGATGATGAAATAAACTTCTAATGA